TGCAACTTTATGTATTAAAAACTCTATTTTGGCAAATTTACTATTGAGATCCCCTAACAAGTCAACTCTACTGATTTGTATGTCAAACTATTTATTTATGCAAATATGTTTATTTTGCAAATTCAAATCACCTTGCAATAGTTATACTAAAGTGACTTAATTGTTAATGTGTTCTTCCTCCAATTACCTGTTTTCTATAATATAAACATAAACGACATAAAACATTAGCATTATTTCTACTATTTAATTCACTTTAGTTATATTTTTTTGTATTTTAACACAGAAATTGGCAGGTCAAGCTTGCATTTGAAAAAAGGGTATTAGACATTTTAGAGTATTTGCAGTTCTTGAAAATGTCCAAAATCTATGATTTGGGGTAATTTCTAAATTCCTCTTATATTCTCATTTTATCTTTCACCATTTTAGATATAAGCATTATTCAAGTTGTTTCCCCCTTAACATTTTTTGGTTATTCTATTTCTAACAAATTAAACATATAATTTATTTTTTCTTCTTAATAACTTTAACCTCTCCAACTTCCTTTTAAAAATAATTTTGCTATGTTGATTGGTGTTGGCAAAACTTCCAAGTTGATATTAGCTACATATTCCATTAACATACTGTTTTCTCCATCTTCCACATCATTAAGTTGTTAAATAAGGGCAGTCTCATACTGATCCTTGTGGCACTCCTATATATGCAATGACATTTTGTTTATTATACTTCATTCAGTTTTATATCCATAAGGTTCTGCTTTAATCCAAGTCAATTTAAACTTTTTATTGCTATTCCATGACATTCTATGAAATACTTTATTTGCTTTTTTTAAGCAGATATATTCCATGTGCTTGACACTATTGCCTTCTCTCCAATGACTCTGTGCTAAAAGTAACCTGGATTTTTTTTTATTGTGGCTTTTTAAATCATGATTGCTTCAGTAGCAAAATCCCTGATATCTTTTCCTTACTACCTTTGTCTCTGATTAAGAATAAGAAAAATATTCCACTCAACTATGTCTTATCTGAGACCCCACATTTCCTTTTAAAATACAGTTTTCAATTCTATATCCCTTTGGAAAAAAAACAACATAATTTTTCATTGATAATTTCCTGAATACTGAAATATTTGTGATATCTAGGCTCATTGGTTCAAGTGTTATCATTTCATACTTTTATATTGGATTTATTGCTATTGTCCATAATTTCTTTAGTCTTTATTTTTAAATCAAATATTTGTTAATTTACCATCAAACTTACCTTTCATTATTAATTCTAAAAACTTAATGTTCATTTAAAATAAAGTTTTATGTAGATTTAACCATTTCAGTTAAGACTTGGTCAAATTTCTCTCTGATTTTAACCTATACACAGAGGTGTTCATTTGGAGACTGTATAAAATACATCATTTTACCATTTATCAAAATTTAAAGCCTTTTTACATTTGAATAATAGTAACAAAATATGTTTCTTCATTTTTAAAGAATTTAAAGTTATTTATTCAATATTATTATGAAAAATGTATTTTTTATCTCATAATGTTCATAGGATCATCTAGGATATTAAAAAGAACATATGAATTAATTGATAATAAATTTTATAAAATATGGTCATGATTAAACCCTTTTTTCTAACTTAAAAACTCATAAACTACAAAATATATTTGACGATTCACCATGCACTAATATATAATCTATAATGCTTCAAAAATTGTTCTGGTTACTGAGAATCCTTCAATGAGTGAGACAGAAGTTGACCTTTGACAGGACACAATAGTGTTGATTACTTATCAGAAAAGTATTAAGCAGAGAAGAATATGAATTAAACCCAGATTTTTATAAGGCAGGCCTTAAGGAAAATCAAGCCAATTTGACCAGTAGAAACTTGCAGTGGCTCAGAAGTTCAAGGTATAAAATAAGATAGGAAAATCAGTATTGTTTAGACTTATGTTTCTTCCCCTCCAACTTTCAAACTGCAATTTCCTCTATCCCCTCTCATAGGCACATATTCTCTGGAACACTTTTCTACTTGATTTCTCTAGAGGAAGCAAAAAATGGATGTGACACATGAATTGAAAAAAGCAGGAAAAATTCACCCTAAGAAACAGATAATTAAACTGTCCATTTTTGCTTGGCTTTCAAAATACCTGTACTTGCACCAAGAATTGCAGAATTTGGGAGGTTTATCCCAGGGAAAATTTAAGCTTCTCTAGGGAAAAGACCTCTATATACTGATTTATATGGATTGAACTGATGATATAAATAAATAACTGGTCATCATTTATAGATTGGTAAAACGACCAAACTGATGACAAGCCCTAAATATAGAATTGTAAGTAAGTAGATTTGAAAAGCCAATGGGGCACAGGTGAGGGAACTTTCCAGTAGTAAAGACAGAACAAAACACATGACAGAAAAGAGGAATTCTAATAAAAGAAAATAAGAGAAAGGATTGCTAGAAACTATGTTTTAAACTTATGTTATAGAAAATGTCCATATAGTGAAAGTACTAGGAGCTATTATAATATAGAGCAAGAAGGGCTCTTAATATATAAAATTAGGGAAGTGATAATGGCAGTATAAAAAAATAAACATTTAACAGAATCATAGCTGATACAAAGTTTAGAAGCCAAGGAATAAAAAAAGATGTTTCACAATAGGAACATACAAGACATGGTGGGAATTGTGGTCCCAGTCAGCCATATGGAGGGGGAAACCCATCAACGAATAAGCCACCAACAAGCAAAGCCAAAGTACAACAAGAAAGCCCACAAAAGTGGAATAAAGGGCAACCATAGACTATACAGATCAGGAGAACAAAGAGACAACATCACTGAATCCCACAAAACTCCTACAATAGAAGATCATGCCACAAAGACAGGCAGGCAAAACAGAGCAACTTGAGATGTAGGAACAAAGAAAAAGAGTTACCTCAAATGGGGAAACAAAGATCCTCTAGTCAAAAAGAAAGGAGGAATCCACAGAAAAAGTGCTAAATCAAATTGAGGCAAACAATCTATCAGACAAACAATAAAAAAGAAAATGGTTTTAATAGTGCCTAAGGAACTCAGTGACAACTACAAGGAACTTAGTGGAAACTACAGCAGCATGAAAAAAGAAATAGAAACCACGAACAAGAACCAGGAAGAAATGAAGACTACAATATCTTAAATGAAAAATACAACAGAAAGAATTACAAGCAATCTAGATGAAGCAGAAGAATGAATCAGCGAGCTGGATGGCAAGGTAGAATGAAATACTCAGGCAGAACAACAAAACTAAAAGATTAAAAAAATTGAGGATAGTTTAAGGTAATTTCAGGACAATGAAAAACATAAAAATATTTGCATCATAGGAATAGCAGAAAGAGAAGATGAGGGGCAAAGGATAGGAAACCTGTTTGAAAATATAAAGACAGAAAACCTCTCTAATTTGGTGAAGGAAAAAGTCACACAAGTTCAGGAAGCACAGAGGGTATCAAACAAGATGAACCCAAAGGGGCCTACTCCAAAACACATCATAATTAAAATGCAAAATTTTAATGATAGAGTCTTAAAGCCAGCAATGGAAAAAGCAACAAATAATGTATAAGGGAGGTCCAATAAGGCTATCAGCTGATTTCTCAATAGAAACACTATAATCTAGAAGGAATTGGCATGAAATATTCCAGGTAATGAAAACCATGAAACTACAACCAAGACTACTCTACCCAACAAGGCTATCATTTAAAATGGATGATGATATATAGACATTTCTAAACAAAAGAAGGCTAAAAGAGTATGTCTCCACAAAGCCAGCACTGCAAGAGATGATAAAGGGACTGTTACAAAAAGAAGAGACACAGAGAGAGAGGGAGGGAGGAAGAGAAAGAAACAGAGAGAGAGAGGGAGAGATAGAGAGAGAAACATAGGTAAGGAAAAAAGACCAATGACTAAGTATCTATCAATAATAACTTTAAATGTAAATTGATTAAATGTTCCAATCAAAAGACACAGGGTAGTTGAATGGATAAGAACACAAGACACATTTATATTCTATCTACAAGAGACCCATCTCAGAACAAAAGATATACACACATTGAAAGGGAAGGGATGGGAAAAATATTCCAAGCAAATGGACACAAAAAGAAAGCTGGGGCAGCAATATTTATATCAGACAAAACAGATTTCTAAATAAAAGCCATAAAAGGGGACAAAGAATGTTACTACATAATACTTAAAGACATAATCCAACAGGAAACTATAACCCTTGTAAACATATATGCACCTAACATATACAAGGAAAATATTGGAGGACTTTAAGAAAGATATTGATAACAATAGAGTCATCATAGGGGATTTTAACATTAACCCACTGTCAACAATGGATATATCCTCCAAACAAAAAAATCAACAAGGATATTGTGGCATAGAAGAATACTCTAGGTAAAATGGAATTAATTGATATATAAAGCATTTCACCCCAAAGAAGCAAAATAAACATTCTTTTCAAATGAACCTGGAGCATTTTCAAAGATAGACCACATGGTAGGACACACAGCAAGCTTCAACAAATTGAAGAAAATTGGAATCATACAAAGCATGCTTAGATTACAATGGATTGAAACTAGAAACTAACCTCAAGGGAAAGATTCAAAAACATTCAAATACATGGAAACTGAATAACATGTTATTAAATCATGAACGAGTCAACAATGAGATCAAGGAAGAAATCAAAAGTATCTGAAAACAAATGAAAATGAACACACAACAACCCAATACCTATTTGACACAGTGAAGATAGTCCTAAGAGGGAAGTTCATATCAACACAGGCCTACAAAAAGTAGATAGAAAAATCCCCAATAAACAACCTAACCCTACATCTAATCCTACAGCTATAGGAACAGCAACAAACAGCACCTAGAGCAAGTAGAAGGAAAAACATAATCAACATCAGGACAGAATTAAATGACATAGAGACTAAAAGAATAATTCAAAGGGTCAATATACCCAGGACTGGTTCTTTTTTTTTTTTTAACTTTTAGAATATTTATTAAATGGATGATTTATAAGAAAGACATTGAATAAAGGTAAAATTTTTCACTTGAAGTAAACGTGAAAGTTTTAAATGTGTAAAGTTTACATTCAATTTCATTTTAAAAAAGATCTGCCCCTTTGGATTATATCATGGAGTATGAAGCACTGGTGAGATCGACGTCACCAGAAATGTTCGCTGCGCTGATTTCCTTGAGATTTGTCATCCGGTGATTGTACTGCAACAAGTGAGCATCATTGACCGCAACCTTGAAGTGGTCAGATTCAACCAGTACTTGTATTTTGAATGGTTTACCACTTTCAAATGGAAAAACTGGCTGTCTTTCTTCCCGGCCTCAGCTACCATTCATCATTGAATTGCAAACAATGACTCTCTTATTGTCCTCATTGAAGCATGGGTTAAAGTGGAAGGCGATATCATTCCCTCTCTTGAAATTTAAAACAATTCCGTTTGCCTTGGACCTCACTGTGCCCATAATTGTTATCAGCATGCGAGGCATGACTCCTCCAGGGAAAGCCAGGTCGTGAGGCACAGTCAGTGGTCCCGTGGGGACACCAGTGGGGCCGGCACCAGGGTAGGCCCGGGGCCCACCTGGTTGTCCAGGGTAGGCTCCTGGTGCATTTGGCCCGGGATAAGCAGGTGTTGTAAAACCAGGGTAGGCGCTGGGTGGTGCCTGTCCGGGGTAGGCCCCAGGATAGGAAGCTCCTGGGTAGCCCCCTCCCCCAGCAGGCTGGTTTCCCCATGCACCAGGCCATCCTTGAGGGTTTGGGTTCCCAGAAGCAGGGAGGGCATCATTAAGTGAAAAGTTGTCCGCCATTTTCCTTATGCCTCGGCACTCGCTCTCTTGCTCAGGGTGTGGCTCCTGGCGAGGTCGTTTTGTCCCTCAGGACTGGTTCTTTGAAAATAGGAATTAAATTGACAAACCTTTAGCCAAACACATCAAGAAAAAAAGATAACCCAAATAAATAAAATCAGATATTAAAGAGAAGTTAAATGATACCACAGAAACACAAAGGATTCTAAGTAATTACAATGAACAACTATATGCCAAGAAACTGGACAACCTGGGGAAATGGACAAATTTTTAGAAACATAGAATCTTTCAAAATTGAATCAAGAAGAAACAGAAAGCCTGAAAAGACAAATTACAATGAGTGAAACTGAAGCATCAATTAAATAACTTCCATCACACAAAAGCCCCGGACTTGATGACTTTACAGGTAAATTTTAAGAAACTTTTAAGAAAAAACTAATTCCTATACATGTCAAATTGTTCCAAAAAACGTCAAGAAAAGGGAGGACTCCAAACTCTTTTTACAAGTTCAGCATCATCCTAATTCCAAAACCAGATAAATATACAACAAAGAAAGGAAACTTCAGTCCAAAACCTCTGATGAACATAAATGTTTTTTTATTATTGATTTTTTCAAATACATTTGTCTCTGCCTTCCCCCCACCACTTTCCCCTGCCCCCTCCCCCACCCTCCCTCAATCCTTCCCCTTTGGTTTTGTCCATGAGACCTTGCTACACATTCCCCGATCCTCCCCTTCCATTCCTGTTGCCCCGTCCCCCTCTCCCTCCTTCCCTCTTGTCTCTGTTGATTTCTTTTCCTTTCAGTGTTGCTGGTCTTATTTTCCTTGCATCTTTGCATTGTTGGTTAGGTTCCGCTTATAGGTGAGATCATATAGAATTTGTCTTTTGCCCCGTGGCTTATTTAACTTACCATAATGCTCTCTAGTTCCATCCACACAGTCGCAAAGTTTAGTAGTTCTTTTCTTCTTTCTGCTGCGTAGTATTCCATTGTGTAAATGTACCATAGTTTTTTGATCCACTCATCTCCTGATGGGCATTTAGGTTGCTTCCAACACTTGGCTATTGTAAATTGTGCTGCTATGAACGTTGGGGTGCAGAGGTTCTTTTGAATTGGCGTTTTGGAATTCTCAGAGTATAGTCCCAGCAGAGGAATCGCTGGATCAAAAGGCAGTTCCATTTTCAGCTTTCTGAGGAAATTCCACACTGCTTTCCACAATGGCTGCACCAGTCTGCATTCCCACTAGCAGTGTATTAGTGTTCCCTTTTCTCCACAGCCTCGACAGCACAACTGTTGTTTGTTGATCTGTTTATGATGGCCATTCTGACCGGTGTGAGGTGGTATCTCATGGTGGTGTTGATCTGCATTTCTCTGATAGCTAGTGATGCTGAGCATACTTTCGAATGGCTCTGGGCCCTCTGTATCTCCTCCTTGGAAAAGCGTCTCCCCAGATCCTTTGCCCATTTTTGGATTGGATCGTTTCTCTTCTTCAAGTGGAGTCAAGTGAGCTTTTTAAATGTCTTGGAGATCAAACCTCTAGCTGATGTATTATTAGCAATATTTAAGTCTTTTATCCATCTTGAGTTTATTTTTGTGTATGGTGTCAGCTGATGATCCAATTTCAATTTTTTGCATGTAGCCATCCAGCTCTCCCAACACCATTTGTTGAAGAGGCTATTATTGCTCCATTTTATGCTTCTGCCCCCTTTGTCGAATATTAGATGCCCATAGAGACCTGGGCTTAATTCTGGGCTTTCTATTCAATTCCACTGGTCTATGGGTCTGTTCTTGTGCCAGTCCCAGATTGTTTTGAGTATAGTGGCTTTGTAGTAGAGTTTGATATACAGTATAGTGATCCCTCCTATTTTGTGTTTCTTTCTCAAAATTGATGCGACTATTTGGGGTCATTTATGGTTCCATATAAATTTTTGAAATGTCTGTTCTATTTCTGTGAAATACGTTATTGGTATCTTTATAGGGATTGCGTTGAATCTATAAATTGCTTTGTGTAGTAGGGATATTTTGATGATATTAATTCTTCAAAATCATGAGCACGGTATATGCTTCCATTTATTTGTGTCTTCCTTAATGTCTTTCTTCAATGTTGTATAGTTTTCTGTGTACAGGTCTTTTACCTCTTTGGTTAAATTCATGCCTAGGTACTTTATTTTTCTTGCTATATTGAATGGTATTTTTTTCTTCCTCTTCTATTTCATTGCTGGTGTACAAAAATGCCTTTGATTTCTGAATGTTGACTTTGTATGCTGCTGTTTTGCCAAATTCACTTATTAGGTTGAGGAGTTTTTTGGTAGAGTCTACAGGGTTCTCTATGTACACTATCCTGTCATCTGCAAACAATGACAGTTTTACTTCCTCCTTTCCTATTTGGATGCTTTTTATTTTTTTCTTGTCAGACCACTGTGGCTAGGACTTCCAATACAATGTTGAAAAGAAGCGGTGAAAGAGGACATCCTTGTCGTGTTCCCGATCTTAGTGGGGAAGCTTTCAGTTTTTGCCCATTGAGTATGATATTGGCTGTAGGTTATTCATATATGGCCTTTATTACGTTGAGGAATGCCCCATTTATTCCCATTTTGCTGAGTGTTTTGATTATAAATGCGTGCTGTACCTTATCAAATGCTTTTTATGCATCTATCAAGATGATCATGTGGGTTTGTCTTTCCTTTTATTTATGTGATGTATTACGTTAAAGACTTGCGTATATTGAACCATCCCTGCATCCCTGGGATGAATCTCACTTGATTGTGGTGGATAATCTTTTGAATGTATTGCTGGATGCGGTTTGCCAATATTTTGTTGAGGATTTTAGCATCTATGTTCATCAGCGAAATCGGCCTGTAGTTTTCTTTCTTTGCAGGGTCTTTATCTGGTTTTGGGATTAGGGTGATGCTGGCCTCATAGAAAGAGTCTGGGAGTCTTCCCACCTCTTGAATTTTTTGGAATAGTCTGAGAAGGACAGGGGTTAGCTCTTCCTTAAATGTTTTGTAAAATTCTCCTGTGAAACCATCTGCCCCAGGGCTTTTGTGTGTCCGGAGTTTCTTGGTTACTGCTTCAATTTCCCCAGCTGTTATCGGTCCATTCAAGCTTTCTGTTTCTTCCTCCTTCAGTGTTGGAGATTATACTTTTCTAAAAATTTGTCCATTTTACACAGGTTTTCAAATTTCTTGACATGTAATTGTTCAAAGTAGTTTCTGACAATCCTTTGTATTTCTGTGGTATCAGTTGTTATTTCTCCTCTTTCGTTTCTGATATTTTTTTTTTTTTTTTTTTTTTTTTTTTTTTTTTTTTTTTTTTATTTACTTTTTAAATTTTTCCCCCCCCCCTCAGCTCTTCCCCTTTGGTTTTGTATGAGTCCTTTTTTTTTTTTTCCTTCCCCCCCCCCTTCTTTGTCTCTTGTTTTTTTTTTTTTGCTTTTTTGCTTGTTTGTTTCGTTCCGCTTTTGGTTGTCTTCTGTTTTTCGCTTCATGATGCAGTTCCACCACTGTTGCGAGTTTAGTTTTTTTTCTTTCTGCTTTTTGTATTCCATTATTTTTTTTTTTGATCCAAAGGCTTGTTGATTTTATTTATCTTTTCCAAGAACCAGCTTCTGGATTGGTTGATCCTTTGAATTGTTCTTTTTGTCTCTATGTCATTCAGTTCTGCTCTAATCTTGACTATTTCCTCCCTTCTACTTGCTCTGCGATTTATTTGTTGTTTCTCCAGTTCTTGATGTTGTAGTGTTAGGTCTTTTATTTGAAATGTTTCTATCTTTTTTAGGTAAGCCTGTATTGCTATGAACTTCCCTCTCAGGACCGCCTTTGCTGTGTCCCATAGGTTTTGGACAGTTGTCTGTTCATTTTCATTTGTTTCCAGAAATTTTGTGATTTCTTATCTCATTATTGACCCATTCATTGTTCAATAGTGTACTGTTCAGTCTCCATGAGGTTGCAAGTTTTTGAAGTTTCTCTTTGAGGTTGATTTTCAGTTTAAATCCCTTGTGGTCTGAGAAAAAGTTTGGTATTATTTCAATTTTCCTGAATTTGCTGAGGTTTGCTTTGTGTCCTATCATGTGGTCTATCATTGAAAAACTGCCATGAGCATTTGAAAAGAATGTGTGTTTTTCTTCTTTGGGATGTAAGGTTCTATATATGCCAATTAAGTCTATTTGATTCAGTGCATCATTCAGTGTATCATTCAGCTCCACAATATCCTTACTGATGCTTTGTTCATAAGATCTGTCCATTTTTGACAATGGAGTGCTGAAATCCCCTACTATCAATGTTTTGCTGTCTATATCTCTTTTGAAGTCATCCAACAATTTCCTTATATACTTGGGGGCTCCTATGTTGGGAGCATATAAGTTTACAATGTTTATGTCTTCTTGACAGATTCTTCCTTTAAGTATTATAAAGTGCCCCTCTGGGTCTCTCTTTATGGCCTTTGTTTTGAAATCTATTTTCTCTGATACAAGTATGGCAACCCTGGCCTTTTTCTCTTGCCCATTTGCTTGGAATATTTTTTTTTCCATTCCTTTACTTTCAATCTGCGTCTGTCTCTTGCTCTGTGGTGGGTCTCTTGTAGGGGTCATGTTTTCTTATCCTGTGTCTTTTGATTGGGGCATTTAGTCCATTCACATTGAGAGATATTACTGATAGAAACTTACTCATCTTTTCTCTTTGTACCTGTGTTCCTCTCTCTCTCATTCTTTTCCTTCATCTGCTTAAACCAGTCTCCTTAACATATCTTGGAGTGCTGGTTTGGTAGAGATGTATTCTTTTAAACTTCTCTTGTCTGGGAAACTCTGTATTTCCCCCTCTATTGTAATTGAGAGCCTTGCTGGGTAGAGTAGCCTTGTTTGTAGGCCTTTGCTTTCATGGCTTGGAATATTTGTTGCCATTCCCTTCTGGCTTGTAGTATTTCTGTTGAGAAGTCTGCTCCTAGACATATAAGGGGACCCCTTGTATGTTACTTTCTCCTTCTCCCTTGCTGCCTTGAGGATTCTCTTTGTCTTTGATAGTTGCCATTTTAATGATGATATGTCTTGGCATGGACATCCTTGAGTCCCTC